AACCAGGTGACTTGACTTACATATAGAAAGAGGTGGTTTAAATGAGTCACTGCAATACGGATAAATTTAATTATTTCTGAATTTGCGAACCTTTGGTTCGATGCGCTAATCGAGGGTCAAGTCTACCCCTGGGTACACCAATGGAGATTGATTTTACTAGTTCATATTTACACTTCCCACTCCCCCAGTGCAGCAAAATTGCCACTCCGATAATTTTCTCGATCAGTTACGAGCTTTTCCGTCTCCCTTCGGCCAAAGTCCCTCAGGACTTTTGTTTGGAAAAGTTGACCCGGAACAATGGGCCATTTCTTGATACAACAAGCGAATTTCTCGGGTGTAATTGCTTTTGATTTCTCAACTGATGTTGTCGCAAACACAGCTTTTGGAAGTCACGAAACAAAAAACTTATCAGGACCTAGTTTCATGTACTACTGGAAGTAAATGGCAAATAAAAACATGTTCTCTTGAGAAATAAAATTATAAATAACAGGGGTTCTTTGAAACAAATAGTGATAGAAAAGGTTTCAGTTCTGGTCATTATTGACTTTTCATAGCCTACTTCCGAATCTGAGGGAACGCACTGAGGGAATAAAAAAAACATACATGTGTGATATTGCAAGGAGGAGAATAAAAATACAAATAAAGAAAAAGGAAAAAAAATAGAAACTCGTGTTGCAGCGCGCAGATATCTTTTGAGCAAGACCTACACACTTATGCCCGACACCACGCAAAGAAACTCGAAAGAGTGCTGTATATGAACTTGTTCGCATGTGCACGCAGGAATGGCCATGACAATCAGCGAAAATAATGGCAAATTCAGATTATATTTGCAGTCAAAAAACAGGCAAATGAGATGACAGAAGGATAAAGAAAAAAAAACAATTTTTACTTCTCATGAAAGGTCAGTCAGACTACAAATACTATTTCTCCGTGGAATTTCTTGATGGTGGAAAGTGGAAAAACCATTTTCCAGTCTTATTTTCCGGAAACATGGCGCAGTTAACGAATTTTATGGGGCTATTGATATTTCCTATCAAATAAGGGGGGCAGAGTTTCCCGTCATCCGCGTTTTGGAAAAGCCGAAATTGTTACACTCGGGAACTTGTAGGTCAACAAGCACGCGACATGTGAATTTAAAATCTCCTCTCCTGTTACAGTTTCCTTATTGTGAACTGTGCGATAATGATAATAAACAATCTAATTGTAGACTTATGAATGTTTTGGTTTTGTACAAGTGCCCTATATCCTGATTTTAGCAAATCTTTAAAGTAATAAACGACAGACGAAAGAAACGCTACGATTTTCCCATCGATTTTTCAGCTAAAACAGAGCTGGTATCTTTGCAAACAGCGATTTGTATATTTAGCATTCGAGAAAAATCAACTCTAAAATTTTACCTAAAACGGTGGTTTGTTCACTAAACAATGAAGGTAGGTTACTTTTTAAGTTAAAATTGATCTATTTAGATGAATCAAAACTGAAGTAGAGACCAAACACGTCGAGTTTTGTCCCAATAGCGTGCGATTTGCAGTAGGAGTACAGCAAGAAAAATGGCCTAACTCCGTGAAAATGCACGCTGTATATTTTGGTCTGGTGCGCTCGCTTTTCACGGGCCAAAAATAATATTTTAACATGATAAACACGAAGAATTTCTCGTTGAAAAGAGCTCTTTTATTTTATGTACATTTGTATACCCTTGATGCTATGGTCGTCTGAAATATAGCAAAATTCAGCGTACAAACGGAATAGAAAATATAGTGTACTTTACGCGGGTGGTTACAAACGAAAGAAAGTTTAGTTGGAGATGAAATATAGTTGCAAAGCTACTCCAAGGGATGAAAAACAACTTATGAAAAAATGAATCCAAGATAATTTTTCGTTGTCTTGTATGAGCATTGTGAAAATGCACTAAAAGCCCAATAGAAATTATGCAAATTAGGTACGTTTTGGCCGACTTCGAATTTCGTATTTTTTTCCAAAATAAAAACTCGCTGGAACTTTTGAATATTATTTTTGAAAACGATTCACCAAAAGAGTCTTTTGGAGCAAATAAAAAAAAGTTGAATTTTTGCTTCTGTCGCCGTATTCTCGAAAATTACTGACATCCTCTCTTAATGTGATACATGGATTCAGATGAGTTGACTGATAACGTAACCATGACAATTACTTTTGTCAGTGTAATATTTCAAGCACCTGCTTTGCATTGGGCCATGAACCGTAATCCTCAGTCACCTTTTCAATGGTATAATGAAGACAACGAGATGTCTAGATAAATCTGGTACGATGAAACAGCAATTCAGTAAAAATTGTGATTGTTGATAAGTACGCAAAATGCTTTAATTGAATCTAGTGATAAAATGTCCAATGAAACTCGATAAGCTCGAAAGTATACTTTTAATCCTCACATTATTGTCGGCGCGCGTCCATTGTCATAATATTAAATTGTTTGCAATGTATATATAAGTTTCTTCAATATTTTCCTCCGTCACCTTCACAATGGTGTAATAAAGACACCGAGACATCTGTTACTTTTATTAGTGGTTACCTCTCTATAAATCTGGTACGATGAAACAAATTTGAAAAATTTGACAAGAGTTAGATTTCTCAAAAAAGGGAAAATTAGAAAACCTTGAAATATTGATGCACGAGATGCATATGCCAACCATCAGCCCATAAATTATTCACCATCTCTTGCCGTCATAAACATCGTTTAAGAATTTAGTGGAGTCATTAAGTTTGTTTGGACCATGATTGTTATTGCACTAAAAGAAGATTTAGACAAAAGACTTGAACAGTCACTCGATACGTTTTCGCGAATAAACACCAGTTTTGAAGACTTTGAGATAAAGGTAGGCCTTCACTTTTTTTTTTATAAAAAAATGAACAAAGTTATCTTAAAGCAGTATGTTTACAGAAATGAGAAACACCTTAGGTCTGAGTCACAAATGAAAGCATGCTCGAGTGAAAAGTCAAAATGTGGCTTGATATGTGCCTTGCCTTCAGGCGCATGTACTTTCAGTTAGTTTTAAATTGTGATTAAATTTCAAATGACACAGTCTCGATTTTGTGAAATTAAATTGATAATCTATGATTTTTTTTTAGAACTGAACTGAGACCGAGCCAAGAGAAAAAGCTATCCTGTGACGCTAACCAGCTTGAAATGTAAGTAGAACAGGATATGGTAATTTTACAGTGAATGAAGTAAAAGCAGATCTGACAGATATCCCTTCAATATAACTAAGAGAAGCTTCGACTATCGTCTGTTCCATTGGCTTGATTTTTCACTAAATTTTCCTGCAGCTTGTGACTTTTTATGCCTTGTAACTCATTAGTGAGAAAAATTAACCTGAGGGCTGATGCCAGGGACAGAGAGAACCTAAAAAAAAGGAGCTGAGTTCAATGAGTACATCGCAACAGGCAACGGGAATCTGAGTAAATGGTATTATGAAACGTTTATCAATATGGAAGCCTCGACGGTTCTCTTAGTTCGACGTCCTCCATGACAGCTGATGTGAAAATAATTCAATATAACATATTTCCTTTTAAAAAAAATACCGCGTTTAGGTTCAGAGTCCGTAGATCGATTTTCTGTGATTATCGAGCACACCCAGCCAGCTTTAAAATCTTCAGAACCGCCGTCCTTTGAAATATTCAAATCAACATTTTCTCCTTAACCCTTTAACTCCCAAGATCTGATTGTTAATTCTCCCATCTAGCTGTTACACATTTCCTTGCAATTTAGTGACAAGAATTCGGTGTTATATCCTGATAATAACCTCTAACTGATAAGTTTTAGTAATCTCATTACCTGTTTGTTGATTGGCGTATGGATATTGTAGGGAGAAGTTACATGGAAATCACTTCTGAGAGTTAAAAAGTTAACAGATAGATTCCATGGCTCCGTGGGTCCGTTCAGTCATAGAACACAGATGACTTATTATTATAAATATTATATTATTATACAAGATGTTACCAATTGAAGTAAACCTAAATGAAATTGTATCATATCTCAGGGAAATTCGGCCTCCTTGCCTTTGCCACAGCATAATTCCATTGCTCATAACCGCTGGATTCATATTTCCATTCACCACGGGCTCCTGCAGCGACGACAAGTGTCCCGTCTCATTCCAATTCATTATTGGAAGGAACATGGTGGATGGGCACGCCCTAGTGGGTCACGTGTTTGCAAATGTCTCAGTGACCAAAGTGATGGATTGTTACAGAGCATGCCAACCAAACTGCCGTTGTATCTCTTTCAACTTTTTGAAATATTCCAACCAGGATAACTGTCAACTGAATGAGGAAAACCGACACCTGAAGCCCGGTGCCTTGATGGCAAAGGAAGACTCTCAGTACTACGATCTGGTCGTTCGCTACAACATTGCGGTGAGAAATGATGTTTAGCCGGCATGAACAGCTTCTTTTCAAAATATGAGAATATTTTCAAAAGTTTCCAGTCGGGATTTTGTTCTTATTAAAATTCTCAGTCATACCATAAATCAGGTTCGCATATGTCAAGCTTATACTGTATATGAATTATCAGAGAGAGTCTTATTCTACCAATCTATGCTAAAAAATCAAATCAACTGATTTGTTGTCTCAGAGCAATTCTGCAGTTTCAGCATCGTCTGGATGCACTCAGTGTTCCAACAGTTGTTGCAAAGATCAACCGTGTCTCAATGGAGGAACATGTCTAGAAAACTGTCAGGAGACCGGAAAACGATTCACGTGCGACTGTTCGGGATTTATTGGCCAGATCTGTGAGCAGGGTAAAACAGTTTTGATCAATAATGCAACTACAGTCTCACATTCTGTGAGCTGTCTTTTTCATGCTGAAAATTAATCGAGTCTTAAATCAATCGAAAGGTTCCTTTCCTTTCTGCAATCTCCCTGATAGACGAGCAGAGGACTGATAGTTACGTATAATTAAATAATGACTCTTAACGGACTATTTAACCTTACACATTCATATACCAATTTGAAATACGGTTCACGTTTAGAGTGTCAGGGCGCCCTTGGCATGGAGAGCCGTGCAATAACTGACGGACAAATAAGCGCCTCTACTATATGGAGTTCCTATCATGTTGCTTCTAACGCCAGACTTCACAATCAAGCAAGCGCAAATAGCAGCGGGGCCTGGGAACCATCAAAGAAAAATGCCAATCAGTGGCTTCAGATTGATTTGGTCACGCAACTCAGCGTGACACGCGTGGCAACACAAGGAAAACCAGGTGATCGGCATTGGGTGACTAAATATCATTTACAGTATAGTAACAACGGGTCGACCTTCCAGTTTCACAGAGAGCAAGGAAAACATTTTAGCAAGGTTAGTCATTGAGCAGATATTTGAACTTGCAGTTTATTTAATACCATGCCATGTTGACCTCAGACTTGGTCAATAACGTACGTATGTTGTTTAAAGGAATTATCTGGAAACACAGATGGTACAACTGTGGTGTCCCATGACCTTATTCCACCAATCATGGCGCGTTACATTCGTTTCCGACCATTGGCTTGGCACTTGCAGATAGCCATGAGAGTGGAGCTGTATGGTTGCCAAGGTATTTTAGGATCTTTAAAGGCCGTAATATTGTGTAACTCTGCCTAAATTTTCTTATGGAAACAGTGATGCTCGTTTATATTATGTGACAGGCTCGTGACAAGCTAACCTAGCAGCCTCGCCTTATGCAAATTAGCTAGCGGATTTTGTTAGTGCGCAAGTGAGAACGTTTTGTTATTAAGGCCTGATTTTCGGAGACATTTTACAGTAAGTTACTTGGTGTTACAAAAGTATTTTCCACAGTGCTATTTCGCAAACCTTTAATTATGCTTTTGTTTCGTAACAGGTATCTAAAGCAACAAGAGAGGATTGCCAAACCAGGGACGGAAAATAAAGATCTGAAGTAGATGAAGTAGATAGTTTATTCTGATTAAAATCGCAGCCAAAAGCTGAATTAGATTAATCGTTACAATAGTAAAATCTAATAAAAGTATGAGAAAAGCATAAGAAAAATGTACACAGATTAACTATAATTATGATCTCTTCTGAGTATGCTGTCAATCTTGCACAGTGGATCTCAATTGTTAACGATTGATTCATGCGTCAGTTTGCGTTAATTGATATATAAAGCACATGGTGAGATTTAAAGAAAGATAAAAGATTGCTTGGTGAATTAGTTTTGAAGACGGCTTCAAGAAAAACAAGAGTGAATTTCTAAGCGAGGGGAAGAAACTTATGTCTCTCATGGTGGATACTGTTGATCTAACACTATAAATATCACCAATTCACAGCTGTTTCATTAGTAAACTTTTGTTCATTGAGATATGAAGCACACCAGAAGATTTAAAGAAAGATGAAAGATTGCTCGAGGCGTGAGTTAGCTTGAGTTTTGAAAGCATGAAAGATGCGCCAAAGTTACTCAAGGCGTAAGTGAGAGCATCTAAAGCTACTCGAGTGCTGTTCAAATTTACTGCGTGCCACAGACACATCTTGCCTGCTGTGCAGACGTCTAATTAGTGCGAGCTAAGCTTTGATTAGGAGTTAGAGTGGACGGTGGGGGTAGGGGGTAATCTCCACTTCCCCACCCCTACCTCTCTCCTTATTTTTGACCGACGACCACCTCCTTGGTACAAATTTCTTTCTCTCCCCAGCCTTCCGTTGCCATTAAAATCAAAGATGGCGGCCATAATTTCATTAAGCGGAAATTACTGAGCACTCGCTCGCCGAAATTACGCCGGCTCTGCCGGCTAAGTCACATCTCGGTGACCGCACAGCTGATGAAAGAACCAATCGTCTTTTAACAGTTCAACGCTGTAGTTAAGATGACGCACAAGAAAAACAAAACAAGGAATATTGAGAGCCTTTGAGGGGGATCGGGTTAATTTTAATTTTATCGGGACCCAACAAAAATCCTCCAGCCCCCTCCCCCTCAGGCAGTGGATGGTGGACGGTCCCTAATTTAATTTTCTTAAAATAGTTTAACGCAAAAGTTCTGAGGCATAAGGAAAAAACTGAAAGCCTTTTGAGAAAAGCAACCACAAATCACCATGACTTTTTAATTAGCTGATCATTATCGTCAATGTCGTCGTTTAATAAACAGACTGATGCTACGCTTTTTATCATTGATATCCTTTTTTTTTATATTGTAACCAAATTGAGCCCAAAATGTTAGCTTCATTTTTGCCTCATATCGTGAGGTAACTTGCAACTTCCGATTACAGCGTTCATAAAGCCGGGCCGGGGGTAACTGGTACTGTAGTAAAACACCTTGCTTAAATAAAACTGTCCATTAACAGAGTTTCATCGCCAAAAGAAATAACACTAAACTGCTGCATCTAAGAAAATAATTCTCGTTGAAGTGCAATACCATCAGGCTTGAACTTAAGCTTAAGATTAGTCGTCGCCAACAGAGTGGGACTGTTAATTTGATCGCCAGGTAACCGCCCATTAACTGCCAATGAGGAGGAGATCGTAAGAATATCAAGTAAATTTTTAACGTAACAAAACCAAATTCCTCCAACTCCCCTCCCCTCCCCCCCCGGCTTTAAATTATGACCAGTCCCTTAGCAACCTTGTGACGCGTTTATTTAATTTTACTTAATTCAGTAAAAAGTGTGATTGTTGATAAGTACACAAAATGCTTTAATTGAATCTAGTGATAAAATGTCCAATGAAACTCGATAAGCTCGAAAGTATACTTTTAATCCTCACATTATTGTCGGCGTGCGACCATTGTCATGATGTTCAATTGCTTGCAATGTATAATTTTCTTCAATATTTTCCTCAGTCACCTTTACAATGGTGTAATTAAGACATCGAGACATCTGTTACTTTTATTAGTGGTTACCTCTCTATAAATCTGGTACGATGAAACAAAATTGAAAAATTTGATAAGAGTTAGATTTCTCAAAAAAGGGAAAATTAGAAAACTTTGAAATATTGATACACGAGATGCATATGCCAATCATCGGCCAATAAATTATTCACTGTCTCATGCCGTTTAGGCATTCTGTGGAGCCATTAGGTTTGTTTGACCATGATTGTTATTGCAGTAACAGAAGATTTAAACCAAAGACTTGAACGGTCACTCGATACGTTTTCGCGAACAAACACCAGTTTTGAAGACTTTGAGATAAAGGTAGGCCTTCACTTTTTTTCGATAAAAAAATGAACAAAGTTATCTTAAAGCAGTATGTTTACAGAAATGAGTAACACCTTGGATCTGAGTCAGAAATGAATGCATGCTTGAGTGAAAAGTCAACTAACGTAGCTTGTAACGTAACGTGCCTTCACTAATGTTATCTTTCGAACAGTATTCCCCAAGTTTTAAAAACACCCGTAATAAGTTAAGCAACTTGGGTATAATAACTTATATAAAAAGAGAAAGTAAAGAAGACTCGATCGCTCGGAAAGGAGCAGGTGTTTTAACTTAGTGGCAAGTTCAGCAAATTTATTGTTATCGCGCTCTCGAAAATGTGTTTATTTAGGTTAGGTGCATAGTCTAAAAATGTGATTAAATTTCAAATGTCATAATTTCAATTTTGTGAAATTAAACATAATCTATAATTTTTTTTTATAACTGAAGTGAGACCGAGCCAAAAGAAAAAGCTATCCTGTGACGCTAACCAGCTTGAAATGTAAGTAGAACAGGATATTGGTAATTTTACAGTACATGGAGTAAAAGCAGATCTGACAGATATCCCTTCAATATAACTAAAAGAAGCTTTGGCTGTCGTTTGTTTCATTGGCTTGACTTTTCACTGATTTTTCCAGAAGTTCATTAGTGAGAAGATTAACCTGAGCGCTTAAGCCGGAGACAAAGAAAACCCCCCAAAAAAAGAGCTGAGTTCAATGAGTACATCGCAACAGGCAACGGGAATCTGAATAAATGGTATTATGAAACGTTTCTCAGTCTGAAAGCCTCGGCGGTTCTCTCAGTTCGACGTCCTCCATGACCGCTGGGGTGAAATAATTCAATATACCATATTTCCTCTAAAAAAATACCGCGTTTCAGTTCAGAGCCCGTAGATCGATTTTCCGTGATTATCGAGCGCACCCAGCTAGCTTTGAAATCTTCAGAACGGATGTCCTTTGAAATATTCAATCAACATTTTCTCCTTAACCCTTTAACTCCCAAGCTCTAATTGCTTATTCTACCATCTAGCTGTTACACATTTCCTTGCAATTAAGTTACAAGAATTCTGGGTTATATCATGATAATAACCTCTCACTGATAAATTTGAGTAATCTCAACACCTGTTTGTTGGATAGTGTGTGGATTTTGTAGGAAGAAGTTACACTTCTGATACCTAAAGGATTAACAGATAGATTCTATGGTTCAGTGCATCCGTTCAGCCATAGATCACAGATGACGTTAAAATATTATTATTCAAGATTTTGCCCTTTGAAGTAAATTACACTGAAATTGTATTACATCTCAGGGAAATTTGGCCTGCCTGCCTTTGCCACGGCATAATTCCATTGCTGATAACCGCTGGATTCATTATTCCATTCACCACGGGTTCTTGCAGTGACGGCAAGTGTCCCGTCTCATTCTACTTCACTATTGGAAGGAACATGGTAGATGGGCACACCCTGCTTGATCACGTGTTTTCAACTGTCTCTGTGACCGGAGTGATCGATTGTTACAGAGCATGTCAAACAAACTGTCGTTGTATCTCGTTCAACTTCCTGACACATTTTAACCAGGATAACTGTCAACTGAATGAAGAAAACCGATATCTGAAGCCTGGTGCTTTAATTCCTATGGAAGGCTCTCAGTACTACGACCTGGGTATCATATATCATGCGGAGGTAAAATCAAAAGCACTCCTCAAAATCATTCAAATTATCATGATTTTGTGCATGAAAATCACATTTGTGTACGTATGACACCAAAATTTACCAAACCAAACGTTCATTTGAACGATTAAGACTTCATCATCATCATCATCATTAATGTGTCTTGAATATCTAGCCGATGGGGTTCAAAACCCCTCTACTAATAGGGGACACTTAACATAGCTAATAACCTACTTACTATTTTCTGATGAAATATTAAAAAAAAAACCTAATCAGAGGATTTCAACTGTATCTCAATCAAATTAACTTAAATATCCCCGCCCGAGGCTCTGTCTTATTCTAATGATCCCCCTCATGTGCAGTTCATTTTTTGCAGTCCCCCTTTTATACTCTGTTAACGACAACTGATTCCCTCTCCGTTCCCCCCATAAATAGTGACCCATCCCCCTTACTTACCTTCCAGGTATGTACCCAGTGTTTCAACAGATGCTGCATGGCTCAGCCGTGTTTTAATGGAGGAACATGTCAAGAAAATTGTCACGAGACTGGAAGACGATTCTTGTGTCATTGTCCTGCACGTTTTATTGGCAATGTATGTGAGAAAGGTATGTTACTAACATAGTTGAATATAACATCATAGGGTCGGTTCTTGCCCAAAGTCAAACCCAAACCACGGTTATAGGCAATCAAGGGGCTTCAGGCTTTCTCCATAAGAGGGTCGATTTAATTATATAGATTTCCTTCCGCTGTTAGTTGGCGGGCCCACTAGACACTGTTCACCAAAAAGATGAATGTCCACATAAGAGGTTCAGCTAAATTAAAGATTGTTTAGGACACGGTTTTGTAAAATAACGGCTAAATTCTGTTTACTCAGTAATCAGATCATAGTGTTTCATTAAGAGGATTAAGCTCAAAGTAACTTTTGTCTACTATGGTGATGAAGCAAGTTAGCCGAAAATGAAAGGAACATGGCATTACAGCTGTTATAATTGAGAGTAATTCGAATTTTTGATAAACCAGTTATTGAAGGAATCGTCAATTCAAATCTCGTGACTGAAAGAGAAGTGGGATAAAGATATAAAACGAGTGAAAAGGGAGAGAATAACAGTAAAAAATCTGAACAATATGCAAGGAAGAACAGTTACTAGAAACTTGCGGGGTGAAACGGGACACTTGCCGTCACTGCAAGAACCCGTGGTGAGTGACTTTTGTCTACTATAGTGATAAAGCAAGTTAGCCGAAAGTAATTCGAATTTTTGATCAACCAGTTACTGGAGGAATCGTCAATTCAAATCTCGTGACTGAAAGAAAAATGGGATAAATATATAAAATAAGTGAAAAGGGAAAGAGCAATAGTAAAAAAATCTGAATAATGTGTAAGGAATAACAGTTACTAGAAACTTGCGGGGTGGAAAAGACGAATCTAATCCCAGTTCCGCATTGAGTATTTACTGATTACCTCGCAAACATTTTGGTGTTACAATCACCGATTCATTATGTTTCCTTACAGTATTAAACACTACTTTGACGCCTAATCTATTTAATTAAGACTGTCAGGATGCCCTGGGTATGGAAAGCGGTGATATTTCTGATGCACAACTCAGTGCCTCTACAGAACTGGTTCCAGAAAAAGGAGCAAAGCACAGCAGGCTACAATCCAAGTGGAATGGAGTATCTGGGGGAGGCTGGATAGCTAAAATATCTGACACCAACCAATGGCTACAGATCGATCTACTGGATCAGCATTCTTATGTTGTAACAAAGATAGCTACACAGGGCAGAAATCATTATCATAATCGCATTGTGACCAAATATAAACTTCAGTACAGTGACGATGGAGTTACCTTCCTCTATTACAGAGAAGAAGGCCAAGTTACTGACAAGGTATGAGTTAGTAAAGCAGCAGCAGACTTATCTAATCTCATAAAAATACAGTTGTAAGTCTTCTAACTTAGCATGATTTTAAATACAACCAGGTATGCTATCAAATAGTTTTTTTTTTTTTTTTACCATGAGTGGTTTTAAAGAATTTCTTTAACCCAGTTACTTAGTAAAGAATCATAGCCGAGTAGCTTAAGTTAAATAACAAGAAAAGACAAGTTTTCTTTTTCACGAATATTTCTCTTCCAAACAACAGGTTTTTCCTGGAAACACAGACAGGGATACTGTAGTGTCACATGAACTAATTCCACCAATCAGAGCACGCTATATTCGTTTTCGACCGATAGAGTGGTCTGGCTACATAGGAATGAGGGTGGAGCTCTACGGCTGTCGCGGTAACGTATTACTGTACAGTATTTAAAAAATTCTGGCTTAAGGTCATAATTTTAAGAGATGCGAAAATTTCTTTGAAAAATCAGGGGTCACGCAAACTCTTCATCCGATCTCGAAATCTCGTCAGCCTTTCTGATGAGTCACAAATCTTCGAGTTATCGTTGGGATAAAGTATAGTCGCTGTCGTTTGCAAGAATTGGAGTGCTAAAGTCGACTCAACATTTTGATAAGCTTACAAGGGTGGTAGCTATAGTACGGACTTTTATAGCTGAATTTGTTTAGTCTCGTCATCGCACTTATAAACTGGTGTCCCCGTGTCTCCGTAGTTTTTTACTTTACTATTCGCCTGTCCTGATCTCGCTTGAGATTTCCTGAAGAAGGAAGCCATTTCTAATATCATGATCAACATTAAGTCTGTTGCATCTTTTATTCCCAACAGATAACTGAACGGAAAGTGGATTACCAAAGGCACGTGTATCAAGACTGAATGTGGTCTTAAATGGCTTCCTAGAGTGTTGGAAAAGTTCAGCAACTGACTAAGAAGACTGCATACCCTTCGGCATGAAACAAAAAAAATCTACCCTTAGAGCGGTAAAAATTACTAATAACTTGATATTGCTAAAAAAAAAAAAATACCTAGACTACGAGCAGTCCCTCCGTCGCGTGGCCACTGTACACTAAAAACTAATTTACATGTACATCATTAAATTAACCGTCTAATTAGCAAAACCTTAGAAAGTAAATGATAGAGTAAAACTGAAAAAGTGAATAAATAAGTAAATTGTGGATGAACAATTAGATAAATAAATAAATAAATAACTAAGGAAATAAAAAGTACATACTTTATTCCAAATATATAGTAGTGAGATGCTCTGCAGTGGTAAAGTACTTAAGGATAGTTGGTTCCATCTACAATAGACCTTGGATAAAAAAAAAATGTAAACACTACAGTTGCACTGAATATGGCGATGAGGAGTATAATTTGGAAGCCGAGATGCCCTGTTAAGAGGGAAAACCTTTGGAGGAAGCGGATGACCCTTAGACCTTGCTGGATCTTGTAGAACATGGTTAATTAAGACAGTAATCTACGTTGTTCTAGGTCCCCCCCCCCCCGAGTTAATTAATCATATGAGTAACATGACTTAATCTAGAATAATCGTGTAAGACAAATCTAGCTGCCCTATGTTGAACCATATCAATCTTGTTAATATTACGTTTAGTTTTAATTAAGGGTTCCATGCAGAACTGGTATATTATAACTGCGGGCGGACAAGACTAACATAAGCTTTCGATTTCACATCTATATTGCAGTCACCTAGGACTCTTCTTAGAAGGCCTTGTGTTTCATTGGCCTTGCTACAAATGAGGTCACAGTGTTTTCCAATCGAGTTTCTGAATTAAAGTGATGCTTTGATATTTGGAGATGGTCTGGTCATTCATTAAATAATCGTGACAAAAAGGAACAGTTTTGCTAGTTATTCCCAAGTGATAGCATTTAGTGATATTAAAGATCATTTGCCAAAGGTCTCCCATTTTCAAAAGTTATCTAGTTTATTGGAGTGCAGAATGATTTTATTGTGTATTGATTTCTCTATAGATGACGATGTCGTCTGCGAAAAGGCGCACGTGGGCGCTGTTATCTGTAATGTCGTTGATATAGAGTAGAAATAATACTGAGCCCAGGACTGACCCCTGGGGAACTCCAGAGACAACTGGTGTGGGGCTAAGAGTGTGTTCCATCGATCGATACCACTTGGGTGCGGTCGGTGACTAAGGCTTTGATCTAGTCTAATGATCTGTCCCGAATACCATTGCAGTTCAGTTTAGATAATAAGCATCGGTAGGGAACGGAGTCAAAAGCCTTCTCGAAATCAAGAAGGATCACATCGGTCTGAGTGCGGTGATTGATGCTCTTTACCCAGTCATTGATGGCTGAAATAAGCTGGGTTTCACAAGAAAATTTTTGTCTAAAGCCATGTTGGTGATTAATAATGATATCTTCGTGGATAAGTGTTTGGAAATATGACTTCGCATTATATGCTCCATAATCGTACAACCTGCACATGTAAGAGAAATGGGGCGGTAGTTAGATGGATTTGATCTTACATCTTTTTTGTGTGTAGTAGTAAATAATGCCTTGGACCAACCAGATGGTGGTTTGGTGGAAGATGGAAAAACCTTTTGTTTTTGTGTGAGAGAATTTGTGGTGTATCAAGATAACGTCCCAACAAGATAGCCTGCAAGGTAGGCGTAATTTTGACGAGCGAGTGCTCATATGTATTTAACAAAAATTATGACCGTCATCTTTGATTTTAATGACAGCGGAAGACTGGGGAGAGAAAGAAATTTGTACTAAGGAGTCGGTCGACGGTCAAAAATAGAGATGGGTCGCCCTCATCCCCTCCTACCCCACCGTCCACTCTGACACCAGATCAAACATGGCCGATAGGATAAACGATCGCGAGCTTATAACGATAGCTCGCCCTGATAAGACGCTTGCACTGCAAGCTACCCAATAAGATAGTTATCTTGGTTTTCGTTACCTGCTTGTTGGACAGTGCATTAATTAACCCTTTGACCCGTCAGTAACTAGCATTTAATTTTTCTTTACCGTCCCACCCCTGAAATTTAACATAAAGGTCGAGAGAATAAAGGAAATGATCACCTACTAAAGAAGCTCTTAAAAAAAAAAATTCTTGTCAGCTCCTTAGGAAACATCATAAAGAAATGTACAGTACAGACCATATTGTAGTAGAATCGATTGAGAGGATTGCAAATTGTTATGGTCATCGAAGGAGGAGATTCGTTATTTATCTTGTAATGAGTGACTGAGTGTCTGACTGACTGAGAGACAAAGAAGTCTATGGCATGTTAGGCCGTTAATAGATTCATATGTGAAATGCGTTCAGCATTCTGCTGAGATCAATTATGTCTAAACTGTGGAGTAAGTAAATAGAAAGATGGAAGACTTCAATTTCAATCCACTTTTTAAGAAAATCGAGCTTACTCGTAGCAGCAGTATTTTTAACTAGTATAGTACACTAGATTATACATTTCAACATTTACATCCGCATTTTAACCCCACACTTCTAGTCTAACTCCATTTCTTGGTAAAATTCAATTCGTCGAGAGTGTGCTAACTCAGCTACTGCAAAATATGACGATATCAACAATTCTTAGCTCGTCAGTGCTTTATGAAGATTCTAACAAACATCTCTATAGCTTTATAAGACTAATTTGGAAATGGTAGTTGATAGGTATTCAATGTTTTAAATGACTAACTTCATGTAAGGAGCACCGGTGCACGCGACAAAGAAATCTGTCAACTAAATGATGCAGTAATGCAAAGAGCCACTTCAAAAAGAATTCTGACACACTCATCAGAATTGGTCGCAGTTACTTTTACAAGTACTTGTGAAATTGATCACCCTTAGGCCTCTTGTGGAGATTTGTGGGCAAGAAACTTCACCCAATCAGCATCTAAGGAGAGGGGCGATTACAGACTTTAACAGATTTGCACTCGGGGTATTCGAGTCAATCTGCTTTTCTTTCAAAGAGTCACCACTGGACGACTGTTTTGTGGGCAGTGATGTCCTCTCAGATCCCTCTACTATGGAATAACCTTTGAGAGGTGTGCTGCCATTAAACGAATAAGGAACATCAATAAACGGAGTATGAAAGAATTTAGAAAAAGTGACACTCCTTTCAAATACTCACCCGTTATTTTCATTGACATCTTTAGAATTTTCTGTTCTTAATGACAACGCCTTATATAGCTCTTCTGTGTTCGGGATTTCCACGGGTCCGTCCCGCGGGATATTAGGAGTGCCTCTGGTTTCGGATGAGATAAGACCTCTTGGTGCAGGTGAAAACGACACGGGGCTGACTTGAAGCCGAGGCCCATCTGGTGCTAAAGAGAAATTATCATTTAAACCTACATGAAACTGACTACTGAAGAAATAGAGTAAAGGAAAAACTTTGACAAAATTCATGCAAACAGTATAAACATTCAAATTAAATACCAACCTCTGTGTTGCTTTCATAATCTTCATTCTGCTGATTCAGCA